CATGGCAGGCATCTGCAAGTGGTAGCAGTTCCTAGGGAGGAGCTGTGATAGATTCAGAGTCCCTGAGGTCTGCTTGAACAGACGGAGGGGCTGCATTTTCATAGCAGAGTAACTTCAGGGAGTTCTGCAGTGCTACACTGCCCTGTTGGTGACACCCTGGGGACTCCCCTGTGTACTCAGAGTGACAAACCTGCTGCAAGCATGACACCAAGTGTACTGGTACCAGTGCAGGACATACCTACCTTACTCAAAAATCTGCTGGAAGTGCCAGAAGAGCTGACTGCAGTCTCGGGGCTCATCTACGAGGAGACGCGCGGCGTGCTCAAGGTCTTCCTGGAGAACGTCATCCGCGACGCCGTCACCTACACGGAGCACGCCAAGAGGAAGACGGTCACGGCCATGGACGTGGTCTACGCCCTCAAGCGCCAGGGCCGCACTCTCTACGGCTTCGGCGGCTAAAGCCTTGCCTTAGCGAACCACCGCGACAAAAAACCCAAAGGCTCTTTTAAGAGCCACCCACCTATTCCTTTAAAGGAGCTGTATTACGATGTTACAGAGATCGGAAGAGAAGGATGACATTGTTTTTAAATGTTTCCAAAGGTGTTAATGCAATGTTACTAGTGCTTTAGCGGATCTCTCAAATGTGTAAGTTCGCTGCTAACAGGGAATTTCTCTGCCGTATAGGGTGGCTCTTTTGTGCTCCAAATTCTTTTCCAAAAAATATTAGGAAATTTTAACGAATATTAATGCTAGAGAAAAATCGTTCAGCTGCCCTGAGGTGAATGCTTGCTGATATTTCTATTGCCCCCCACACGCACACCTTGTCTATGATATATTTGCTTCTAAAATAAAGGAGTAAATCTAATTCTGTTTTCTAGTGATCTTTTGGTGCGTGAGGGGGAGGGAGGGAGAAAGGGAGGGATGGGAGGGGACTAGACAATAAAACCAAATTATGAGCCTAGGAACATTTTCTTCTTAATGTATCAAAAGATGCCTTCTTTTGATACTTTTGTCAACACAAATAAATACAAAAAAGAATCCCCCCCGAAAAATTTTGTTGTACCTAGAGATCAAAAGGAAAAAAAACTTTAACATTAAAAAAAAAATTAACATTACATGAAACCTTTGAAAATTATTTGGCAATTGCAGCCAATTATATCAATATGTACTTGTGGCTGCATCTGGTTTTCTCACACTTTCATGAGTAGGGGAAAATTAAATAGGAGACCAATACCATATTTCTTTTCAATTAATTTCAACAAAAGCAAAAAAAAAAATCAATAGCCAAAGTGTCATCATCATGATGTTGCCTGATGACATGTAAAGCTTCTTATTCAGAATTTCCTAATGAAATTAAAACATGAAAACATGAGAATAGTACTTTAAAAATGATGTCGATCACTACAGCTTGTATCACTGTGTCATTGTATCAAACCAACAACCTGTGCTCCTGGATTTTGGAGTGCCCCTGTTTGACGGTGCCAGCCCATCTGTGCTTTGTGTCTTTGCGAATTACGTGTCTATTCACGTAAGGAGCTCTGTACAACGTTGAAAGGATATTTTCCTTCTTTTGTGAACGGCCCATCATTAAAAATAGCAAACCAAAGCAAAGACACAAAGACAGAAGCTATAAAGTGCCAGTGCGGAGTTTCAGCCCCCGCGGAGCTGCGGAGGGGCAGAGCCGCCGCAGGAAGAGCTGGAGCACTACTTGAAATTTTCCTTTAAGTTTACTCCTGATGCTTCGCAATACCGCGAAGTGAAAAGTACTTTTAAAACACTCAGTAGGAGTAGTGTGTGAAGTAGAAGTTGGGAGGAGGGTGATCAGAGAGCCTCGGGCAGGGTGGGGGGGTTTTCACATCCCTGTGGCTGATGGATGTGACACAGCTTTGAGGAGAGAAGGGGGTGGCGGGGCCTCACAGGGACCCTCCTGTGCCTGGGATCGATCCGTGCTCAGGAAATTGCAGCTGAAACCCCGCCCGGCGCGTTCCAGGCAAGGGCAGGAGCTCCCCGCGTTACCGTGCTCTGTTCCCGTGCTGTGCTGCTGTCCCTCGTTACCGCCACAGCCAACAAAGAGATCCCTTGAGGGGGCTGCCACCCTGCTCCAGCAGTTCTTAACTCCCGGAACGAGAACAACCATCGCAATAGATCAGCTTTGATTATCTCAGTTTTGATGTATATTGTTATACCTGGTGTTAAAGCAATGGGCAGCCATGCTGATGGCAGAGGGTGCCTGAGGCTTCTTGCAGCACTGAAAAGTAACTGAAAAGGCCAAGAAACTGATTGAAAAGTACTGGGGATTAAGGAATAGTTTACCAAAATTTTCCAGGTTTGTTACTGTAATAATACAAAATGGGGGGGGGGGGGGGGGGAGGGTGTGTTT